TAAACCTATTGATTTAACTGGTATTTTTGAAAAATATTATGAGAGGTAAAGCATATTGGTAGTGAATTACTGAGCAAAACTTGGAGGCTAGCTTTCAGGAAGCAAAAATCGACATTGGGAGACATTTGGCAATAAAATAATTTACAAAGAGATGCAATAGATATCTGCAGGTTTTGGACAGAAATCTAAAACTAGACTAAATAAAACACTCTGATATATTTTGCAAAGAGCAGTCCTCCAGTGGTGGGGATAGGATGATTTTGTAAGAAAGCGTAAGAGCGATACCGGGAGGCAGAATCACATATCAGGGAGAGAAAGAAGATTTGAAAAAGTGCTTCTATTTGCAGACAGGAGGAACTGAGAGTTTGCAAAGAAGTGCTTTGCTTTTGTACAGGGTGGCAGCAGTTCAGCACAGATGAGCTTACACAAATAACTGATTGGTTGCGCCTGATACCCTTGGTGCAGCTAAAGCTTTTTGTTTTCCATATTTTGCACATCTGCAAAATCTCTGCAACTCATTAGTTTACTCGAGTGATTTTAAGTGACTTAGAGCATGTCAGTGAGCTAAGTTAATAGTGCAGTTTTTAAAGACACTGTGCGTGCTACTTCCAGCAGCATTTGAATTAAAATTTCTCAGTGCTGGAGTATGATCTGTGCAGCTTTACTGATAGCAAAACCTGTGGTGGACCATTGGCATTTTGACCACTTTCTGATATAAACCTGCCAGTAAAGCAAGAGTCATTACAGTATTTAAAATTGTATCTGCTTGTTTGCATTAGGACTTCCACCTTTGCTAACACAAGTGGACTTCGATGGAGGTTAAGAAAAATGCTATCCTACAAGAATCTGGAACATATGAGGAACAGATGAAATAATCTATATTTTCTCCATATTCTTAATCAAATCTAGGTCACAAGCTGATACATTGATATCTTGAGAGAGAGTGACAATGTGCAATTTCAAAAAGAGGTGAAACTTAATGCTGGGTGAAGACTTCCAAGAAAGTGGCAGTTGCCAGAAAGTTGCCAGATCCATATTTTTGTAAGAAACACAAATATTGATCTTTACTTTCCGACCTGTGCTCTAATGATTAGACTACTGTCCTGTTTTTTTCTGGGTTTTTTCCTGGTTATAATGACAGTAGTCATATAACAGATACTGAATGATGAGCTACCAATTGAACAGGAATTTGATCTTGACAGGGGTCTTTGGCTACTTCATTGGTACATGTATTTAATATAACTGTAATGCTCACATATTGAAAAAATACGGATGATGCTAAGACTGAGATATAGCAAATGTATTATCAAATAGATGTTTTAGCATCCCATGAAAACATTCCAGACAGCTTCATCTCACTAAATATTGTCCCGTAATTTTGAAATTAACCAAATATCTGGCATGTTTTCCATTTCTTACACAATCTGTCCTTCAGATGGTTGCTGCCACTTAGATATTAATGTCAAGCAAGTAGCAGTTTCTCAGAACCCAGCTCTGCACAATGGTAGAAACGGTTTCAGATGAGAACATTGACTCAGATTTAGCTATAGATAGAAGTTCAAATCAGATGACTGAGGTAATAAAAAAATCCATGCCAGACTCTGAAAAATACTGTATAATTGAACCTTATGTGTTTTCCAAGTAAGTTGCAGCTGAATGAGAATGAATGGAATGCACTTTGGGACGGGAGGTGTTGGGGAGAGATTGGATAGAGGTGAGCGGAGTGGAAAACTCACATGAAGGTGTGATTCAAGCTCAGGATATGACTGACTTTTTTATAGTCCTGAAAACAAGGAAGTGGTTGACAGTAAGAATCAAGAAGTGCCTGAGATTTTATCACCATAATCTCATGGGAGGGTTGGGTTGGCAGGATTTTGGCTTTTTCTTAGTTCTTTTTTTTATGCTAGTATCATGGAAGCTTTATGGAAGAAATAAACTAGGTGAAAACATAATAAAGATGAGGTCAGTGGTCATTATTAGATTTTTAAATACAGTTTATTAAATAAATAGGAATTAAATAAGATGATCGAAGCAAATTCTTACTGTGCCTAAATTTGAATAACAGACTTCATTTCTTCCATGGTATGCACTGGACAGAGAGATTATTTAATCCTGCCTAATCTTAAGATCTAGAACATATGAACATTGAAGAGTAGTTTCCATAATTGTGATTCATTCAATTTGTTTTTTCAAATGTGAAAAATTTTGTTCAGTCTTGGGTTTATAATAAGCAGCTTGTGAGTTGTTATGTAATGATGAACTAATTCATGCATTTCCAATTGAAGTGGAAGTTGGATCTACTGATAACCCCTAAGCTATGAAGAGGTTTTTAAGCACTGTAGCTAAACTTAATTGTGTGACTGTAAATTTAAAATTTCACAATGTATTTCACCCTTGATTTTTAATGCTTAATCTTAGATGCATAGTATTTAAACACTATTGTATAAATAATACAGGCTATTTAAATGTGTATTGGTATAAATCAAGCTGTTAACTTCTTTTTTTCCAGATAATTTCCTGTTCCAGCACTAACAGTGTTGCCATTACTGCTTCTGCCCAAACTCCTCAGCGTCTTTTAGCAGTTAGAGCACGCACTTGGGTGTTGAGTACTCAAACCACATACTGATATCAAAAGCAGATTCTAAATACTGACATCATTCTAGAACGTATAAACAGTGTTCTCTGAGTGCTTGAAGAGGAATAGTTCACAGTATGGCATTGGCTTTGGTAGATCAGCATTTTTCTGTGTCATTATAGGGGGAAAAGTACAACTTGAATGCCTATAGCATTGTGAGCTGCTTGTGAGCATTTGCTGCCATACTGGGAATACGTAGTCCATTTTTTGGTCTTGCAATGGGCGTGGGTTATACGGACTCAGATCATGGTGTGTAGACTCAGAGGATTCCCTAGAAAAGAAGTCCCGAAGAGATACCTTTCAGGGCACCAAAGAAAAGCCCCAAAACCAAGACACCCACAAACAAAACTTAACCTCCACTTAAGCGTTCCTTGTAAATTAACTGTACATTAAAGCATCAGAATGCCACAGTGCAGAGATAATCTGATGCTTCACAGATTTTAGTTGAACTAACAGAGTTTTGAAATTGTTGTTGCTTATCAAAAGACTGAATGCTTTTGTAGCTAATAAAGGCAAAGCAAGACAAGAAAAAACTGCAAATAATCCCAAGGAAGACATGTTCAAAATGAGTGTTTTGCTTCGTGGTCTGCTGCCAAAAGCAAGACAGGTTTTTATTCATTTGGTTACTTTTGGTAATGTTTCCTGTAAGAAGGAATCCAGGATTAGAATTAATGGGAGAGAGTAAATGAGAGTTTCTTCTGATTTACTGCATTACTAAATACTTTTTAAATGCCAGGCAATGCGTGAGGCAACTTTTATTTACCCGTTGTTTTCTAAAAAAAGAGAAACAGTTATAAAAATGAATTTCAGGCAATTGGGTTTCTTTCACTAAAACCAAACAAGTTGTTCTTAAAAGTATGGGTAAGAAGTAAATTAATTATCTAAAAAAATGTTAGCACAGAAACAAATGCATTGTTTCACATGGTTTAGCACTAGCTCTTTTCTTTTGTTAGCACAGAATGTTCTTTCTCCTGCGTTTTCATCTGAGGATTCATTTTCAGTTTGTCTTTCTTCTGTGGAGAAAAGTTATTGGTGAACAGTGGCTCATTTTACCATGTGCAGAGAAAAGACAGAATAGGGTTGTAAAGAAAGCTGAATAACAGCATCTGAGTAGAATAATCATCTCAGATTTGTTGGCTGCTGGTGACTTGAGATGGCTAACAGAGTAATACTGATCTAGAAACTAGTGAAAGTTTAAAAGGTTTGGTATTGATGTCTGTTACATTTGGAGGTCCATATCCACAATATTCCATGAAGAAAGTATCCATGATATTGGTACTTCTGCAGTTTGTCCATACTCTTTTTGATCCATTTTGTTGCTCTCAAAAGAAATACTGTTGTTTGTTTGTTTTCATGCTTTCATGCTAGGGACTGGTAAGAAACTGAAAATACAGAAATAAATAGAAGATGATGTGCACAGACAGGCAGGATTTTAAAGTTAAACCTTATGGGGTAAACCTGGGCTTAATTTGAAAGGATATGTGAAAATTAGCTTTGATTTCTTCTTACTTATGTACTTAGCTTTGTTTACTTAATCAAAATTAAAATCAATCACAGAAATTATCAATATTATACTAAAGCATGAAAGTACACTTTTTCATTCTCTTCAAGTCAAATTTGGAAGTATCACTGAAGTTTGTGTTCAAAGGAATGTCAGGATATTAGCTGAATTTAATTTTTTGCTCTGCTGGAAGCCAATTTCATTAAAAAGATTCCATTTTAATACAGCAATGACAGGCTCTTCCTAACTGAGTCCTTCAGAATTAAACAATAAACTAAGAGCTAACCTAAACCAAAAAGTTACAGCCACCTTCTGTTTGTCCTTTTTGGCTGTGTTGGCTACATCTGTTCAGCTGATATTTCAGCAGGTCTAGTCCAAAACTGCTGCTCCATCAGAGGTAATTTACTCTGCTTACAGGGCTCTTTTTTGCACTGCCCCAACTTCTTCATTCAGTTTTGTGTCAGAGACTCCACATCAATCCAAGCAAAATTTACTTAAAAGTTCTTTAAAATCAGGAACAATAACTTAAAAGAAAGATAAGTTTGAAAGAAATGAATTGGTCTGTCCTCATGCTTGATTTACTTAAGAATATTGATAGTACAATAATTTAAGCAGTTCATACTGTCTGCTAATTATTTTGGAATTTTGTAGATGGGGAGATTCACTCTTAAACAGGCCAAATAAATCGTTATATGTAATGAGTAACGCATGATTATTTGAAAGTTAACATAAAATGAAGGAGTCCTTTAATGGTTCAAGTATACTTTTTTTGAATCCTCTGTTATTTTTGGAACATTTATACATAGAAAAAATTTTGTCATGTTAGAAAACATAGTATTAATCCTGTTTTTCTCTTGCCTACAGGGCAGCACAACTATTTATGTGCTGGAAGAAATGACTGCATAGTTGATAAAATTCGTAGGAAGAACTGTCCAGCATGTCGCTTGAGGAAGTGCTGTCAAGCCGGTATGGTCCTGGGAGGTGAGCTCCTTTTCAGATCTGATTCAGAAAAATAGGCAGTCAAGAACACTACCATCACTCTGTCGAGTTTAAACAACATTACTTTGATGCTGTAAAGGAAAGAACCACATTAAAATGTTATTTTTGGAAGAATTACCTGGTGTTTTAAAATTCCTTATGATTTTTCTTTCATGAGTATGGAAATCCTGAAACAAAAATACTTTTCTGTAGGAATCTCTTTCTCCTACTGTGTACCCTTATACTCATTTTCTTGCAAGGGCAGGAATTGTGTCTTTGGTGTGTATTTATTAATAATTTTGGATCAGAAAATTTCATTTAGGTAAAAAATAAAGAAGCAAATTGAGATTGATGCTAAAATGAGAATGAGTAGTATCCCCTTCTCTTTTCTGTTGTGCTCTCCATCATTGCTTTGAGTACATGTCAACAAAATTATATCCTGTTCCACCAAAGAGGGCCAGGCAGTGCTTGCACCAACACTACAGACTTTGCATACTAGATGCTGGGAATTCCCATCTGTGTATTAGCTCTTGCTGTAACAGATTTGCTTTTTTTATGTAACATTAATCAAAAATTGAGTACTCTGCCTTCGAAAACCTACAGGGAGAAAATAATGTAGGATCACGTAGTCACATGGCAAGTTTTGCTGTGCTAAGTTGCAGGAATGATGCATACTTTTCCTGTTTTTTTTTTTTATATTTTTCATGAGAACTTTAGCTGTATAAAGTTTTGGATCAGCACAAAGCTTGAAAATACATAAGACTATAAGAAAATGGCTATATAAAGATGATAGAAAGAATGTGTTCTCAAAGGGAATTAAAAAAAAGGAAGGACAAAAGCCTGATTTCTTTCTAAGATAATTTATTTTAGTGCAGCAAACATCTCTCTCTCTCTCCCTGCATTTTGTGTATTGCTTTTTGTCCCTGAAGGAAGAATGGGAATTATATACTGTGCGTAATTTCATTATTTTACTAATCCGTGTTCATTCATAAGTTAAAACGTGTATGTAATTTTCAGACTGACAGTTTGATTGCACAGCTGTACACTTTCAGTTCATGTAATATTGTGTGGAGTTGGAGTATTCTGCACACATGGCCGTTGTGGCATTCTTACATGTTGTGCTTTTATCGGTGATATAAACCAGTAGTTCCCAACCAGTGAGGAGCTGTCGCTGGGTCTCGGTACTTCGTCTTCCGTAAGCGATAGTGCTGCAGCTCCAGGGAACGGCCATCGGGATGAGAGGAGGGCAAGTCGATGCTGCGGTATGGACTGTGTTCTGTGTTGTACCCCTGAACCTCCTTAGACCTTCAGCGCTGCCTCTCCTTTGAGTTGTCTTCTCCAAATGGCATCCCTCTCACCCCACAGCACTGGAGACAGAGTAATGAGAGCCATCAGTCTAAGTGATGTTACTGTCTCCCTGCCCTTCCTGCACCTTGGTCAGTCAGTGCTGCCTCTCAGTAAGAAAAATGGAGCTGACAAACATGTTGGTGGCACCAGACTGGGGGAAGAGGGACGAAAGGAAGAGAACGTGTCCTTTGGATCCTTCTCAGAAGCAGTGTTTTAGAGCTGGGGTAGGAGTGCATTAGAGAAACAATATTACTTACAAAGGCAGACTTTTCACCCTGAACCTGAAGGATTGTTTGCCTGGGTTACAGAAGAGTCCCCCAGGTTTGGAAGGGGAGAAAGCAAAGGAGGCAGGGGTCCAGAGGGAGCTGTCGAAAACGTGTGGTAAGAATGGAGACTCGGGAAAGGAGGAGGTGGCAGATATAATGTCTGTCTTGTAAAGTTTGGGACAACTTGTAAGGTTGTCTTGTAAGGTTTGAGCAAGTTGATCTATGAAAGATGTCCCTGCCCATGGCAGGGGGTGGACTAGATGTATCTTTAAAGGTCCCTTCCAACCCCAACCATTCTATGATTCTGACTGGTGTAAAGTAATACAGGTAAAAATTCATTCCTGGCTGTGAATTTTGCACAGCCAAAAGTCTGATGATGATCTAACCTGAACTTTCATGTGTGATAGCCTGGATAACGCCAATAACTAAACCCCAAGTATTTTAAAATCACAAGCAGCACTGTTTCAACAAGCAGAAGTCCTTTTGCTTCAGCATTGTTCTGCATAGCAATTCTACATAGGAAAAGTAGCCAGAAGGCTTGACTTCGTTCTACATTTTGCATACATTTATGGATGCTCATTTTCCTAGTGTTTTTTAATGTATACATTTTGCTCTGAGTGTAGGTAACTAAAATGGAAAAAGTTTGACGCTTTTGCTAGCAATATTTATGAGACGGTATGTCCTCATTAGTGTGTCCTTGTATGAGGATGTTGTGGCCTCACACTTGAAACCAAAACCTGATGATAAAGGTGCTCTGACTCTTAGTTCTTTACCATCACGTATGAAGAGAGTAAAAACTTCCTCTTTCTCTTTGGGTCACCTTTGTTCTCAGCTAGTACTAAGCAAGTGTGAATAGTTTCTTTGCATTTAAAGCTAGATTGTTCTACCTAGCCAGTTTGTTGTGTTGTTTAGCCCTTTTCTGTATATACCTAATCGAAGCTGTCTTCCATTTTTTGAGGAGACTGTTCCAGTCTAGTTCCTCTAGTTCTCAGAGGGCCATGGGATCTCATCAGATCTCTGCCCTGATATCCCCACCTACCCCATCTTCTGGAAGGAAGTGATCTGGCAGGAAAATAGGAAGAAGAAGAAAACATTGAGGCAATGAAAAAAAAGGAACTATCAAATGGAGCCAGCACTGCGGCATCTCTAGTTTTTTCTTAGCTGCATCAGGTTGAGTGTAGTATTTCAGGTGCTCTTAGTGATGTCAACGGATTAGGAAGCTGATTATTCTATGCAGATTGAAATTGAGCACTTAATACTGAAAGGGGAAGAAAGACAAATGTAGGCAAAAAAAAAGAGAGGAAAACTAGAGTGGGATTATAAATGAGGATTTAAAATTCAAAAAGGCTCAAGATAGACTGTTTAACCATAATGCTCTTTCTACCATTACCATCATCTTTCTTAGTTTTCTCTTCTGCCATTTCTTATACTTCCTTTATTGTATTGTGTATCACACATTTCCTACCCATGACTTGCTGTGCTGATAACAGTGTATGATTCATATATGGGATACTACTGAGCTTACATAATTTTCCCCGGGATGTAAGTGTCCATAAGCAAATTTCCAATTTGTGGAGCAAATTACATACGTGGATACATCATTGAATATTTTTAACAAATCCAAATTGTCAATGCTTTAAATCTTTTCCTGTGTTTACAGCCTATTATATTTTAAGATTTTTTGTGCGTTTTCTGGTTTCTGCCATTCAGAACTGACATAGATATACTTTTGTTCCTTTACTCCTGCTACTTAGTTTCTTAATGCTAGCCTTCAGTTACTAAATGCAGACCTCCAATATTGCGTAATCAAGGTGAGAAAGACTAAGATTTTACAGGGTGTTAACTATAAGATTCTGAAGATTATCATTGCAGTAATTAAATTAAATTTACTGCTGGGAGACATACACTTATCTTCCACTGAATGTTACTGAGTGGCAGCCGTATAGATAGAGAATAATATTATATTACATTGACAACAGTTCCATTTTCCGACCCTAATACCAAAGCAATTAAATGAACTTGAATTGTTTTAAAATAAATTAGTAGTCAGTTGTAAGTAAACTATAGGATAGCGGCAAATAGCTTTAGCAACTGATTTCACTGTATGGACTGTTTCTTCTTTCTTAATATATACAAAGAAAGTATCAATGAAAATATATTTCATAATTCCTTAATTATCATTCTCTTAATTGTCTTTGAGTTTTATCATCTCATAACTGGACATGTTAATCTGTCCCCTTTCTAATCTTCTACCTAATAGGACAGCAGGTAGCTGTGTCAGGTCCTGGAATAAACAAATACCCAGCTTTTTTATTTCCTGTCAGTGAATCTCATTTTCCCAGGCTGACGATCACAGATTCCTTGTTCTGCTGTATTGCTAAATTATAGCTTTCTTCACTGTTTCAGTCAGCTTTCAGTCCACATTGCAATGATTACGTGGAGACAAATCTGAATTAATTTTCCAGGTAGTATTTTCTGAGGTAGCATCAAAGGGTTTATTAAAATCAAGATGTATTACTGCTGCTTTGCTGCTTTGTTCCTTTATTTTGTATACACCCTCCTAAGGTGTACACAGCTTGTTCTCCTACACAAAACTTAAGAGCATTGTGACCTTAAAGTCAGAGCCATAGTGTTCTGTCAAGAATAATAAAATCATTGACATTTTTCTCCTAATTAAAGGGTATGGAGAAGGATAGTGAGATGTTAGACTTTTACTAGAAACCCGGCCATTTTAATATGAAATGTCTACTGTCAGTTATGTTTGATTGGCAGTATGGTTCTGCATACCTAGTTAAAAGAATATTAAAATACAGAATTACGTATTAAGGAGAAAATAATAATATATTTGATGGTGAGATTAAGTAGATTTTCTTTATTAAATTTCTTTATGTTTTCTAGGTACAGGTAGTACACAAACACTATACACATGCTATTTACAGTAATCAAGGGTGACAGAACTGTGAGTACTAAGAAACTGCTTGAGTGGTTGGCTATCTTAAAACAAATTAACGAAAATGTTACAAAGAAAAGGTGTGCTGTCTGAATATGCACAGACATGTTTTAATATTAAAATGAATAGTTGCCAGAGCGGATTAGTATTAGTATAATAATTAGTGGAGCCATTTAATAATAAGTGGAGACATTTGTTTATCTTACAGCAGGAAATTATCTGGATATTTTTGTAAGCAGCAATTGAATAACTAAGCTATTGTCACATCTCTCTTGTTTTCCATATGTCCTTAAGAGTTTGCATTAATTTGACATGGTCTCCTTCTGGTAGGTGGGAAAGTTTACTGTGAGTTATTAGTAGTCACCTCTCCAGTAGACAGGTAACAAGTGGAGTTGCTTTACTGGTGGCTGTTAAGCAACATAATTGGAAATAAACACATAAGCAATTCTGCAAGCCAGTGTGACATTAATTCTGATACGTTTAATCACTTGGAAACATGGGTACTTATTAACTACTAACATTTCCATGTGATAAGTGCTCTGTTTGGTTTCTTTCTTTACTTGTTCTCTGAACTGTAAAAGTATCTGAAGCCATTATTTCAGAGAATACCTGAAATCATTATTTATGAACTATCAAATGCATTGTTCCTTCTGGTTTCCTTCATGCCTAAACAATAGTTAGTGGGAAATTCCCAGCATGTTTAGGACTATGTATAGCTTTGTTATGATAGAAATTGGCCCTAGGTCTCGTCATAATATATTGGCTATTCTTTTGGTTCAGCTGTAACATAAGGTGTAAGTTTGTGTTTCATTCTTTACTGAGGAGTCACTAATCAGAAATATTTGTATTCTTACCACAAGTGATAAAAAGAGCATAAGATTGCTGGGGCACTTGATAGTAAGCTAATTAAACTCACAGTTAGTGGGAGTATCACCCCTGACTTCACTGGATGATGAGTGTTGCTGAAGAGCCCATCACTCATATTTATACTATCAATAAAGTGTGTTTCTTTACATTTTGTTTAGTGTACTCCCTTTGGATTTTAAATACTTTTTAAATTTAAATTGAAGTTTTGCACTTTTATGTACAACTTACTTTTTGTATGTATGTGAAATGCCTAAACATGCGTATTTATGATGGGATAACACAAATTTATTTTTTTAAAACAGCAGATTTGGAATTTTAAGACTGTGTTCATCTGCTCAGTCCCATCTGGTTCACAAACAAGAGGATTGATTTTGCCTCCAGTTATGCCAGTGTACATCAAGAATAATTAATTTAAGTAATAAAATTTGTTCTGTATATAATATTTAGAAATAACATAAGTAATCTTTCCATATTTGATGTATTAATCTTGCTTGAAGTTATACTATCCATGTACTAATGAATGTTTTGAAAAGGTCAATTTAATTCTCTAAAGTGTACATCCTAGGTCTTCCAAAATGGAGACACTGGATTTTCACAGAATTTGCTATCTTCTATAATAAAGGAGCACCTGAAAAAAATGGAATAGGCATGTTCCTAAGTAAAGCCATTTTTGTCAAACCTTTCTGTTTTAGTGTGTAGTTTGGAAGACAGGGACTTTCCAAGGAGGAAGGTAATAGATGATTCCGACTATGCTAGCATCTCTCCATTCCTTCCGTGAACAGTTGCGAGAGGATTCAGAGCAAGCGCTGAAGTTTAGGGGCGCTTCCCTGCTCCAGGGTTCTAGGGCCTCTTTGGTGCACTGGCTGCACTCTGGCAGCGCGGCACTACTTTTAACGAAGATAAAAAGAAGGCAGTAAGAGATGGAGAAGTCTTTGTCTCCTTCCTTTAGGATGTGCTAAGTTCCCTTGTCTAATCTTTCATTTGTAAATAAAAGTACCATTTTTCAAAAGACAATTTGACGTGCATGTTACAAACTGGATTGTAATTCAACCAAATAGATGCACAATGTTATGCTTCTGTTACCTTTCACCTTCTGTGCTTACAGAGTGGTTTATGCATATTGCCATTTTATAATGCAGTTTCTCAGTGGTTCAGCAATTTGATAGTCATAGTTTTTCTTTTCATCCAGTGAAATTTGGTGCATCTCTTTTTCTATTATTGTTAAAGCATGCAACGCCGCAACAAGTAAAAATATTTATGTGATTTCTGCATTTTCTTGGAGCAGAACCTTCTTCTTACTGTTTTCTTTAAGGTTGAAACATGTAAACTTTTTATTTTTCTTTGTTGGCCGAATGATTTACCCTTCGTTTGTAGTCACACTGCATCTCTCTTACTGTCCCACTGTCATCTAAAGCAGACCATAAATACCAGTGTCTTTATTGTATTTTTTATTTGTTATGACACCCTTTTTTCACTATGCAAAACTTGTTTGGCAGAACTGAGGAATGTAATGATCCAACGGGGTTTTCATCACCTTTGAGGGTCTATTTGTAGTACATGTGTCCCATGCAGCCACCTCGACATGGATTTGCCTTTTTATTGAAATGTGTAATACAGTAAGATGTTACTGAGGGTTATTGTCTTTCAGCCTCTGAAAGTTTGATTTTCTGTGTCTATATGGTGCACCTCCAGACTGTTTCCGTGAAAGAAATTTGAAGAGTTGCTACCTAGAGCTCTGTATATTTGAATAGCCGTACCAGATGTAATACGGTGCTTATTTTGGGAAGGCAGTTCAACTATTTGTTTTCTTTTTTTTAGTTAGCGTTCTTCAAACCAGTGCAGTATAGAAATAAGAATTGCAGATACTGAGAAAGAGAAATTATTCTCAGAAAGGGGAGTTTTGTAAGTGTTGACATGTGGTTTTACAGTATTTGTTGGCTTTTCACTCATCCCCTGAATTCTATTTTCCTTCTGGTAAACAGGAGGAAAATATTTCAGTACAGATCATCAAAATAGAATTTAGCCATGAGACTGAAATGCCTTTATGGAACTGGAGGAAAGGAATTTCTGTGTGTAGTAATTAATTACTGGCATTTTTGTTTCTGAATATTAGGGAGAAAAAAAGAAACAGTATCCTTAATTAACATTGAATAGAAACCGGCTTGTAGAGCCAGCTGGCTCAGCTGTCGGCATATGATAGAACAGTGGGAACTGAACCAGAAAACACTTTCTGAGGTTACTGTAACCTAGAATTCATGGCAATAATTTTAATGGGTGGGTGCCATTCATCTCTTAGTGAAGGGAGGAGGAAATGGAGGGAGAAACTCTTAAGAATTTTCCATGATTCCTTCTTAATTATATAAATAGTCAAAAATAGAAAACGTATTCAGAAGGCAGTTCTAGTTTCCTTGTATAGATTAAAAGTGTAATCCAGCACTATGGGAAAATATTAATGTTTCTGGTTAATACTTTTTAACAGATCAACTATTTTCTTTTTCAGGTCGAAAACTTAAAAAGTTTAACAAAATTAAGGTTGTGAGAACATTAGATGTTGCACTCCAGCAGCCAGCAACCCTTCAAGATGAAAGCCAATCTCTAACCCAAAGGCTGTCCTTTTCTCCAAATCAAGAAATACAGTTTGTTCCCCCAATGATAAGCGTTCTACGAGGCATTGAGCCAGAAGTTGTCTATGCTGGTTATGACAATACAAAACCCGAAACACCAAGTTCCTTGCTGACCAGTCTAAATCATCTTTGTGAGAGGCAGCTTCTGTGTGTAGTCAAGTGGTCTAAATTGCTACCAGGTAACAGCACTTCTTATATGTAGTGAATTCTAGTTAAGCAAATATGTCATAGGACAAGCAGTCAAAAGAGAATATTATTGTCTGCCTGTTAACTAATTCTTAACAAATTCTAAAATTATTAACCTTTCAATTCATCAGATAATATGTGTACCAATCAAATACATTTTAATAGGAGGGCACTCTTAAAGGAACACAGATGAATATTTAGACTCACTCCAAAAAACAACAGAAGCCCAGAGAGTTCCTGTATATGATTATTATAGCCGCCTTTCCACCCAGCCCCTCCTACTCTATTACTCATTCTTTTGGTATGAAAAAATGTTAATATTTCTGCATATTCTTTATTCTTATTAAAATGAAGTTTTGAAAGCAACAGAGAAAACTTGTAATAAATAGTACCAGTTAGGACTAAGCAGCCCACAAATAGACTGGTAATGAGAAGTAACTGGATTTATGAAGATCCAAGAGTGGGTTCCAAAAACAGTCCATGTTATGTATGCACGTGCACTGTATGGTCATAGGGGCCTGATCCTGGCATATATAAAAATCCAGATATTGACCAGAAAGCCTGGAAGTACAGTTTCATGTGAGCTCAGTTTGACACTTCACTGCTGCAGGAAAGGGTAGTCCCTAACACTGCTCTTCCCCATTGCAGCTTGCACTTGTCAGACCTCTTGGTTGAACTGATTCATCTCATTAAGTGAGAAGGAAACAACCCTTTTTTTTTTACCCTCTGTAGTTTTCTGATGGCTTCATGAGCTGAACCAGTTCAGAGGGGTGGCATGAATGCCAGAGCTTGCTCGAAGGAGGTAACAGGACCAGGTAATGAAGAACAGGACCACTCCTTTCAGGGGCAGGAAGCTGTGAGATTGACTCAGATACTTCATAGCAATCTTTGAAGTTATCAAAGAGCAAATGATCATCAAAGGCAAACACACAACTGAATACTCTTCTCTTTAGTTAAATGTAAAAAAGATATTCATATGTGGATGTTTATTGTATTAAAATATATCTCTTGTTAAGAACACTAAAGTCCAAGCTATCAATATTAAATAAGAGTTAGTTACAGTGATCATGTTACAAACTGTCATATTTTTACCAAAGGAAAATGAGATGCATTCCTAGTTCCTGAAATAGTCACTTCTGACTGCTAAAGTTAATTTTGGTTTGATCTTTTCAAAATATTGGATCAGAACAAAAAGACAAGAGGTTAACTATCAAAAGTGAGACAACCAGTTATTATACAAACTTCACAAACTTCTGAGAGCTACATCCCCAAAAGCACTTGTTTTTCTAGGTGTTCTCAGTTTTATAGCTCAAAGTTGTAATCTCAGAACACCTGCTCAGCTATTCTCTAAATGAGAATTATAAAGTATTTTATCTTTTAATTTCATTTCCAGGATTTCGGAATTTACACATTGATGATCAGATAACCCTCATCCAGTATTCCTGGATGAGTCTAATGGTTTTTGCAATGGGATGGAGATCATACAAACACGTCAGTGGTCAGATGTTATATTTTGCACCAGATCTGATTCTAAATGAGTAAGTAGACTCTGCTGTCGCATAATATGAATGACATTTTGAACTTATTTGTGCCAATGAGAACGCAACTTCATTGAGGCCAAGATTGCATTCATTACTTGTTCTGTTTCAAAATAAACAGCAGAGGAAAGTCCTCTGACCATATTAAAGTTCAGTAACTTTGGGAAGGGTTTTGTGGGAATCCCAAATATTCTGTTGACATGGCCAAACAAAAGGAGTTCAAATAATATTTTAATTATCTAAGACAAAAACAAAAAAAAAATGATGCTGTCAGAAGATTTACCTGAATTCATCTGAATCAGACATGAGTTAATGTTTAGTAAATGAAACTAAGTAGGATTTTCTTTGGTCATTGTTGTTTGAGTGGATTTTGCAAATAGTTTGTATATAGTCTAAAATACTCAGTTTTGACACTTTCTGATAAAACTCTGCTTTTCTAAAAGTACATTTATTGTTAGAAAATTGTAATAATTTAGCAAAAAGGAATTTTAATATCAAGGATAAAATATGCTCTTTTCTGTTTGGAGGGGGGGATTGTTGGCTTAGATTTTCCTTCACTATGCTGATGAATTCAGATAATCTTCATTTCAGTCTTTGTCAGTTTTTCAGCTCTGCAAATTATCAAAGATGTAATTTTAGATACTTTGGTTATAATACATGGGAGGTTTCCAGGAACAGTAAAGCATAATTTAATCTCTGTACTTATTTTTCCTTAATACATTTTTCTTAGTTATTTTTTGTCAAAAACCTAAAAGGACTTCTATGAAGTGAGATGGAAGTTAAACAGGTTTTCTTGTAAGACATATCTGTTTAAGGATTAAGAGGTGGATTTGCAGAAGATCTAGACACCTGAATTTAAAATCTATAGACATCCAGGTTCTTCCCAATGAAGTTCTCTGTAGAAAATATTCAGTCAAGCTGGCCCAGTAGCTCCTGACCTTTTCTCTTCCAGATGACTGTAAATCCCTGTGAGGTTATAGCGTAATGAATTGTTTCCTCTCCCATGTGTATTAATGATGCTGTGCAGATTGAAGTACTTTGAAGGGATGAGATTGAGAGAACTTCTGACTGTATTCTGTCCCAGCATAGTCTGTGATATATCTCATGGTTACATTCAGAAGAAACACAGAGTGAGATGGCTTTAGGCAGTAATGTCATGTCTTAGGGAATTACCCTGTATGTGGACCACTGCTGCCACCTTGTGAAGAAGACATTCTTCAAGAATAGGGTTGAGATTTATGAACCCTGATTATAATCCCTCAGGGACAGCTTCTTGTTCGCAGCACAAGACCATCTACATTGAGAAAGAGGTGGACTGACAACATGTTCTTGATTGTAGAACATCTCATCAGGGTCGTATTAGAAACGTTATAAACAAAGAGTTAGACATGAAAAGTAACTGGCACACTAAATCATAGCTGCAACTATTTATTGGGAAATAAGTTAGCTTTTAGATCAGTTAAGTGTAAGCAACTTCCTTGTCCACAATGATGTCTAAGCTTGTACTTTCATGATCACTTTAAGCAAAGGTAAGTCCTGAACACAGCCAAAAAAGTCAACTCCACCTGCCTCCCTGCCCTGGTCATGCATCCCCATGATTTCACTTAAACTGGATCAAACACTATCTGGCTGCACTGTCAAACAGATAAGGAAGTGATATGCTTGAGAAATACCCCAGAAAAAGCCATTAATTAGCAGATGGAGGTGGTCCCTGATCTGACTCGCCACATGGACAGGCAGGCACTGATGCCAGAACAGCAAGTGTGCACACCTAGAGGTGGAAAGAGAGAATGGAAATTCCTTCTACAAGGGCAACACACACTTGAGTTGTTTCAAAATGACCATGAAACCACAATCCAAAGGTTGTTTCACAGCCAATCTGTCATTTAGTGAACTGAGTTGTAGTGCTCCTTGGGAATGGCTTGTTTGGTAACATCAATTTCAACCAATAAAGCCAGAAGTGTTAATCTGACAATGATGTCATGAATTAGTATTAAAACCCTACAAGGATTTACTGTTACTTATACTTTGCAGTGTCTGAAAACATGACTAAGAACAGCATCTTATCATACCCTGAAAGCTGCTGTCACCCTTCATAGCTACCACTTAGGAATAGAGACTACCAGAAAGGAATAGGAAGGGAGATTTAAAGTAGCTATAGAAGTAACCAGTCCTTTCAGATCTAAAAGATTAAATTTCTATGTTTAAGTCATTTAAGAACTGGTGCGAGGTTTCAGACATTGAACAAAGCTGAAATAATTTTCATTTAAGGTAACAGCAACACTTAGCAACCTGATCTAGAAGATGTCCCTGCCAATTGCAGGGGGGGGTGGACTAGATGGCCTTTAAAGGTCCCTTCCATCCCAAAGCATTCTGTGATTCTATGCTTGAAATAACAGAAGAAAAAAGTGCATTGAGAGAAGTCTTATTCACAGAAAATATCTTCTGTTTTCATCGGTGATGGTGCTATCTGCAGTCAGGTTGGAATGCTGATCTGAACTTCGTAAGGGGGACAGGCAAAATTTAATCTTGTCGTTGTTGTACCTCATTCATCTGGATTGGGAGGCAGCTTTGTAAAATTAGCCCATGTTACTGGATCTTCAGGTTAATGTACAAGGAATTCAGTTTAGTTTACAAACTTTGAAATGCTATTGTTGCAGTAATTTCAGTTGAAAACTGCCTTCCCAATAAATATAGGCAATAAAATATACATAGTATACCAAAATCTCAAAGAGAAAAGTAACATTTAAGTGCTGCAAACAACTAAACAGTTTTATATATTTCCTTGTGTGATTTGTCCTATTTCCTTCTTGCAGGAGTTTAGATAAGGCTGTATTAATGTCTTAGTTTACTTAAATACATTTTGTATATATTTACATTTAAGCTTTTTAACTGTTTCTTTAATGGCATAAAATGATACAAAATAATATCATTGCTGTTAGCAGTACAATGCTAGACTTCCAACAAAGTAGTTTGATGCAGACATTTTTGCAAAACCTAAGAAGTTTTCTATAAACTTTCAGGTTTATCTCAGTTTTATGGTTTGAAATCTTTTCAGAGAATGTAAAAATCTGTCAATCTCCAAAAGAAAAAGAAAGTACTTCACATTAATTATTAGGGTGTTTTTAATTAATAAAAAACCTTCTTCTTTGGTGGTTAGCATTCAGCTTTGATAGTTTCCAAGTTTTTTTTTTCTGGGCAGCAGTAACAGATTAAACGTGCAAAATAACAACACAGTCATTACGATTAAAAAACTAAGGTAGGTACAAAAAAGTCAAAAAATTGTTTATAATTTATAACCTGTTTATATAAACCTCTTTATAATTATAACATCTTTATAATTATATAAACTTCTTGTTTAAATTTATAACCTCTTTCTTTAATTTCTGTGATGTGGTAATTAAACTGCTAACAAGGCACTTCCTTCAAGCATTTAGTACTGGAGCCGTTCCTTTTCTTTATTTTCATGTTTTCTAATTTTTTTTACCTTTTCTGGGTGTAAGACAGAGGATGAAAGAATCATCGTTCTATTCCCTGTGTCTATCCATGTGGCAACTCCCACAGGAATTTGTCAGACTTCAAGTTAGCCAAGAAGAGTTCCTATGTATGAAAGCACTGTTACTTCTAAACACAAGTAGGTTCTTTTATTTCTTTGTAACATATCACTAGTAAACAAGTTTTGAATCATATTGTTTAACTTGAGAATTGCTAAGCTATTTGGCTTAACAAATGGAAACTTCTTTAGAAGGAATGTTAGTATTCCAAGACTAAAAATATTTTTTTCTAGTGTTTATAAGGAACAAATAATTCATGATTCATTGTTGATTTTATTCTGTGTAAAGGTACTGGGGAAATGTTGAATCCCTTTTGATATATAGCTATATGTATTAGACATTTTCAAAGCAAGTGTGCAGTATTTCTGCCTGGAAGCTCTTCAGCTTAAATGACTCTACACAGATTAAAAAAAAAAAAAGTACAAGCATTAGAAATATATTAAAAAATGTTTAATAAATTGTCAGGACTGAGGGCTTTATCTTGGCCAAGAACTTAAAGCATGCTTTCTCAAAAGAATTAGGGAGGTGGACACAGCAAACAATACTAAAATTTATTCAACTTTTTATAGTTATAAATAAGTCCAGTTTAGCACAGATATAAACAAATGGAAGTGTTTTTCTTTAGTTTGTTTCTCTAGAACAAAATTTGTAGTCACTTTGAATCATGCGCATCTTTTAAAGAATTCAGCATACAGCTGCATTCCACTTTAAATGGGAAATGTGGTAGTTGATGCAGTTATCTTCCAAAATGTTTTCTAAAATATTAAAATGTACATCTGCTGAGGCCATAATTGTTAGTTATGAATCCACAAATAGGAAGTTTTAAAATGGTACAGGTGCTATTAGAAATGAGAATAAGCACCTCCGAGAAATAGAATTGGAAGGATGTTGAAATTTGGTTCTCTGCACACTTGGGGAGTCGGAGGAGAGATGTGCAAATCCTGCATAACCTGCTTGTTAAAAGATAAGGAACTAAAATTTATTCCCTCTTAAGCTGTACTTGGCTGGTATTTGCATAAGCTCATGCTTAAAAAAAAACTTGGCCTCAGCAGAGCATAAGCAATAAAGATGAATTTTAGCTCATATGAACATAAAAATTACTAAAATAATAGCAAAATGCCATACACTCTGCTAAAGCAATAAAAATAATGTGGGCAAAAATCCCTCTCTGATACAGCTCTTGTTGCTTTGTTGGAATTCGAATGTCTTCCTATTTTAAATGTTTTCCACCTTGCTTTCATCACAAAATGAACTCCCTTGTCTCTCTGAACCTTAGAGGGAAGTTTTAAATTTCAGTGAAATTTAGATAAATTTGTGATATTCCTGCTCTCCATTTCTGTCCCACAAAGTTCAAATCAAATTCAAAAAGAACATTGCAATGGTCCAAGAGCTGTCATTTATGAGTGCATCAGTTTAACAGCTACCATTCTTTAGCAACTGCATTGCCCTCAGAAACTCATTTTTAAGATGATATGTTTATATATATGCAAGAAATGAGGTTAAAAAAAAAAAAAAGTATTTCTACCTGTGCTGATGAGTTTTGCTTTTTGTTCTCTCCTGCACTTATTGTCTTATAGGAAAAAACAATTTGTCAGATCTTTGGGAAAAGGAACACACCTAACCATTGTTGCTGAGAGATTTAATAAACGTTTGGTACTGTATAAATATAATTCCACAAAACTGTTTTCAAAAACCATATAACCTCATTGTTACTATAAAGTGTTTTTTAAGAGTACTTTTATTTTAGTCATGGTATTCATCTTAATCCTCTTCAAATGTGAAAGTATGGCCATTTCAAGCTTTCATATACTAACAGTAAATCAAGTCTGAACTTTTAGTCTCTCATTCTGTCTTCTGTTTGATTTATTATTTAGATGAACTGTTTTTTACTTTTTATATAATTTTGAATAAACAGTGATTTGTATTAAACATAACTAAATGTCAGTCTTGATACATTTCTAATTCTGAATGGAAACCCCAGCCTAAGTTTTAACATCATTTTTGATTTTAAAGTTTTTCCATTGAGTTTGCTGTGGCTTAGACATTTTCTTTATATTGTACTTGTGACAATTCTAAAGCTGTCTTGAAAGCAGAATTAGTCTTTGAAAAAAGTGGACCAACATTTTTATTTTCTGCAATTGTTTCCATTTTACAGGTCCTTATTTACTATATGTAACATGCTGTGTTGTAGTAGTGCCCCAAAAGTTCTAAATAGGGCTCCACCTTGCAGAGGCCACATACATCTAGGAACTAATACTATGAACAGTTCAGAAAGACTATGATTTAAGAAAGTAGAGCTGTGCCAAAAAAGAGAGAAATAAGCATATAGCAAGTTCAGTTCTAGCTCTAACACTTTCCAGACTTTTGATTTAGAGGAATTGCAAAATCTTGTTGCATAAGATTTTGGCTGGGTTCTTGCCACTGAATAAAAGCATCCGCATTCTTTACATATGTTCAGGGGGAAGGAGCGTTTGAGCTACCTGTGTTTAAATTGCATTTGTGCATGTAAGACATTGTAATTCTTCACTCAAATAAATAGCTTAGTGAAACTTCTTGTGATTAGATGGGAATGCGACTGTGCTTTTGCAGAGTTCTGGGGAACAGGCCATGCGTTGCTGGAAGAGATCTTTTAACTTAATTCACAAGGGAAATGTAAGGACTTAACTGCTGTTTTAGAGACGTAAGTCAAAGAAAGCGTCGACCTAACTCTATAAATTCCATCAGAATGTCACTTTATATGAAAAAGATTTCACAGGTGTCTGTAATTCTGCTGTTAGACATACCCAGAACCATCCAGGCTTTGAAAATTAAGCTATTCTTTTTTCGATGACATAACTTTTCCCCACTGTGAGTATTCCTGCCTGTATTACTCCTAAGCACATCGCATTCTCCACAAAACAGAACTCTTCCATTCAGACCCTCGACGCAGATGTGACAGGCACACTTTCAGATACCTCCTGTGTCTGTCTGGACTTGAGAGGCCGTACTGAGTCAAACCAAAGGTCCGCCTTGTCCAGCATTTCATCTTCATCAGCTGCCAAAAGAAATCGAACATGGTGTCCCTAAAAGCTGCACTGTTATTAGATATGGTGTTATAAACGGACTTTCTGTGGAAGCAGTCACAATTTCTATTCTCTATTTTTATTTTTGTTTGAATTCTGTTTTAGTCAGGAGTCAGACCTTGACTTCCATAGCCATCTCAGTGTTTAGACACTTCTCTTTAAAGTAAGCTTGCTACTTTCTGTATGTGTGTCTCCCTCCTTCCCCCAGACACTCACTTGTCTGAGAAGGCACAGAGCAAGAGACATCCTTGGCAAACTGGATCAGTTCCTCTCTTGGGCAGTCTCCTACAAAATAGGAGACTTCTTGTTAACTCAAACAGAGTAGAGTTTTGATCTTCTGCTTTGTTGTCTCTCTCTGGGCTGGAGGTGAGGGACACTTAATTTTAATGTTTGCCTGAAGTGTCTCCTTCCCTCTTACCTTCTTCTGAGGAACCAGACATGGCTTAGCCAGCTGACTTCAGGACAGGGTTTATGACTTCCAAATGGAGAGCAGTGCTGCTCTCAGTGCAGGGTTTGCTACCTAATTCTCTTTCAGGGAATGGGCTTAGGTCCAACCCCTGTGGAACTGTCTGCTTTTTAGGTGGCTTCTGTTTTAAGAATTCCATTCTTGGGTATCTAACAATACAGTGCATTGTACAGAGAGTCAGCACACACATATATTTATGTTTTAATTCCAGAAAGCGACAAATCACCTGGAAGTTAGGTGTTACAGTGTTGAATAAGTCAATGTCATTATGAACCAAGCTTCAATTTTTTTGAGAGAGATGCAAATGAAATCTCTTGTGGCCCAGTACTAGTCATGGTCTGATGATACCTGATTGAAGATGTACTAGATACCTAGCATGTGATTTATTTAACTATATGAGCTAGTCCCCATGACATTCTTTTAGAGTCCATGGAGAAAAATAAGCATCTCTACAGCATAATTCCTCTCTTTCTAAAGCTACTTCTAAAACAGTGAACATTCTTTGTGCCCAAGACTTGCCTGATTTTTCCCACTGAAGCTACAGCAAGCTGTGATAACTAGCCCAGAAGGAGATGCCTATACTGTAAAATATCTAAAGTTTGGTGAGGTGAATCCTTCTCCTTATGCTTGCTGTCAGAATACGAAATGTTAAATGTGACGTTGCAGTGTGAAGTGTCATTGGCAAGAGAGAAAGGAAAGGGGAAGAAATTTAACAGCTCTTTCAAAAACAGTATGTTTGAAACAAGACCATGTTTTAATGTATGATTATCATAGCAAAGCGAGGATTTAGATTTGATTGCCAGATGGGAATATTTTTTCAAGTTTCATTTCTTCAAGTTTTTCATTTCTTAGTTGCCTTTGACAACGTAAATTGTAAAACTTGTGTATTACACTGCCATATCAAGGAAAGCAGAATCTAGAGCTTATGCCTGTTTCCTTACAGTGCTACCAACACTTACCATCAGTGATCAAATATGGTCTTATCGCTAGCAGTCACTAACAGGTTCATTTCTCAGTGTTCTCTCCGTGTCCTCATTTTGGTCCTCACAGCTGACCATTAAGAGAAGAGTGAGTTCAACCATTTGCTCCGTGCTGATTTCTCTAAAAGCTGTTCACATTTAAGACTCTGATAGCGCAGCTATTCTGTTAAGTGAAAGAGGTCCAAACAGGAGGCCTGACCCCTGGATGCTTTGCAGTCTACGCTACTTAAGAGTTGTTAGTTCATTCCTTGACTCCATTTTGAAGCACTCCAGCTAGATCTCTTTACCATAAATCTGCTATGAAGGGGGCTGACCCTCAGCAGTGTAAGCATGAGCCAGTCCATAACATCTTTGCTCAAGGACAGGAGTGGTTCTTTTGGCCATCTTCTTTTCAGCAGACAGGTGTAGCTGAAGCTTAAGGCTATTAAGCTTCTAGACATCAGCAATTAGCACAATTGACTAATTGTTGCTGGTATATGCTTTTAACTAATTGTATCACTGTTTCTGGAGTAACTGTTGAACGGGAAGAAGTACCTGGTATATAATAACCAATTGCACTGCACAGCGTGAAATACTATAAATTGTTCCTATACTTTAAATTTCTCTCATTGCCTTCAGAATAAATTGCAACACAAGTGTTACTGTCTTTTTAGTTCCTTTGGAAGGTCTAAGAAGTCAAAGCCAGTTTGATGAGATGAGAACGAGTTACATCAGAGAACTGGTGAAGGCAATTGGTTTGCGCCAGAAAGGCGTTGTGGCCAACTCACAACGTTTCTATCAACTTACAAAGCTGATGGATTCCATGCATGATGTAAGTTTGCTTGTTAATGTATTTTGCTTTTTATGTGAGAAGGAACTAGAATTTCTTCAAAGTAATTTTATGGAAAGTGGCTAGTCGACATTTCTAAACAACAAAAGAAAACCCCCTACATTTTTCCTTTAGTGTGTGTATTTGTGTGAATCAATAGCTATATATTCAGCATCAATGTATATTGTGTGCATATATATTATACGGTATACAAGATTTAAGTATTTGAGAAACATGCATTTGAATGCTAACATTTTGTTTCATTATTTCTGTAAAGTAACCAGTACAGTTATGGTTTTTGGTAGGGGGCAGCGTGTTTGTGCGTGTGCGTGTGTATACATGTTGGTGAAAATATTTAAATAATGCAAAGAATAGGCAAGTCAAGTTGCAAAGTCAGACTAGTAAGAATTAGAGAAAGACAACCAGGATTGGTTTTGCAACCTTAATTCAACTACGTTTATGTGTATATTCCATGCCATTTTTTCAGTATCTGTCTATATTTGGGAACTGAGTCATCTTTGAGAACTCTAGTGGTGATATTATAGAGATTCATAAGTGTCTTAAAGATGCAGCTGAATCCTTTCCACATCTCTGAGAATCCAGCATATATCCTGTTGGCTGAACATCCATTAAAACTGAGGAATGACATTTCATATAAACCTTTGCCTACATGAATCTTGTTTTGTAATGGCTTGTGCATCTCTGCAAGAGAGGCAAAAAGCAGAGATGCAGGGCCATATCTGACGGTTTTAGCAAGCGCTGGGGAAGTGGCACTAAGATAGTTTAGGAAGAGGGCTCTTGAGTTCAGTGCTGGTTGTGAGGAGCTCACAGGGAGTTCAGGGAAGGATGGGGTCTTTGCATGTTTGTATTCTACTGCACTCAGCAAATCTGCGTTTTATTTTAATTGTTCATGAATAAATTCATTTATTCATCTAAAACCTTTCATTGTCACTAATTCCCCCTTCTGATGGGAGGAAAAAAGAAACCCTTTGAGGATCCCATTTATGGGAGTTAAGAGAGGTAACAATATTGATTATTATGTGGTTCACCAGGTGGTCTGAAGTCTTGATCCACTGCACAAACCTCTCCCTCAGCTTCTGCTATCCACAGAACTCACATGCACCGTTTAGCTATTGCATCATCTCAGATACCAGCAAAAGGAGCATGAGACAAGTATGACAAGCATCCTCACAGGTGAAGGTAGACAACAGAAAATTCTGAAGGGAGGATATGGAGCTTAACTTTAAGTATTTACTGGTAGTCAGACTGCAGTTGTCACTTGGCTCTGTCAGTGGTAAACCCTTCCCTGGAGTTCAGTCAGTCACCTTTTACTTGCAAAACCAAGTCCTGGCCAGTACACTACGCATGGTAGCCCTGTGCTCAAGGAACCTGTTTGGATCAGTCTTGCTTGGGATAAAAGGTCTTCCTGCCTTACCTGTAGTAATAATTTGCAATCTGAGTGTAACAGCATCCAGAGGAAAACTCTTTTGAGTGCTGGGCTGTAGAATCAATCTCTTAATTTCAAATACTTGAAGTAAAACAGCCTTAGTGGAAGTGAGTGAGTGAGTCTTGCCGCAAAATAGCCAGCAAAGTGATGGTTAGGGTAGTGTTTGGTCCGTAGAGTATCTTTGTTCAAGTTTCTATTTCAGCTCAGGCTGATAAAGTGATGGGAGATACAAGAAAAAGATAATCACACTGTGTGTTGTCAAAGCCTAGAGTAGCAGAAATAATATGATATTTGGTAACATAAATGTCACAAGTCCTAAAGAAAAAATTCTATAAAATTGGAGCTTCTCAGAGAAGGTAGAAGAGGTGAAATAGTCACATATATTGAGCAGTGGCTTTCAAGGGGTGAGGACCTGTGGAGTTTAATGTTTGTGGCGTACTCAGATATGATCATAATCAGAACCATGGAGAAGCTCGCAAGCAAATAGTCAATGCTGTCTCTTGGAGCAGTGTTTGAATAGCATACAGTAAACAAGGCATGGAGACGTGTGTTGAACGTGAGGATAAAATGAAAGATCGAATACTTGTTTAGTAATTGCCATTGTTCATGGTGCCTGCCATGAGGGAGGATGATAACACTTTATAATATTAGTGAGGCACTGTTTTTATATGGCATACCATTTAGCTATATTTATGACTTTTTCCCATGGGAGGATATTTTAATAGGGAATGACAAGTACCCACGTTATTGATTCAAGGAATGACAGAGGAAGGTAGATAACGATGTCAGCCGATGGATGTATGAGATAAGTGATTGACAGCATGTTTATCTGGCTGCATTACTGTTAGCCTGATCTATCATGTTTGTATTTTATTAAATCCAGCTAGTGAAACAGCTCCATCTCTTCTGTCTGAACACATTTCTCCAGTCCCGTGCACTGAGTGTTGAATTCCCCGAGATGATGTCAGAGGTGATTGCAGCCCAGCTACCCAAGATTCTGGCAGGGATGGTGAAACCTCTTCTCTTTCACAAAAAGTGAAATGTCTTTTCTCTTATCATAGAGATGATTTCTGGGTCATTTTTTGTTTGTTTATTTTGGTCAAGATTTTGCAATGTCAGGACTTCAGTAGATTTGTCATACTTACCCTGCCTACTGCTTTATACTTGTAACATACACAAGCCATTTAAGCTTGATGTACATATTGTGAGTTCCTGATTCCTTAACAGCAAAAATCACAAGTCATGAGAAATGTTTTGTAAACTTGGCTAGGTTGCTTTTTAGATATGCATAAGAATGACAATGAATAGAGTTTTCAGATTTCAAGAACAGTTATCTTATACATTTTTCTTACATACTACACGCTCTCAAATTTCTGATATGACATGGTGTAAACTTTTTACTTTAGTACATTGTGTGCATGGGTACATGTGGGCATGTGCATAGTACAAGATTCTGGAGGAATTATAATAAATATTGCCCACGTTTTCTCACAGATATTTCACTTTTTATTAACTAATCTGCCTCACAGAAATATCCTTTCAAAGCCAGCTGTCCAGGATTAAGTAGTCGTCACTGCAATACCTTCGTGAGTATCTATCTCAAGTGCTAGCCACAAAATATACATTCATATTCTTGTCTGTGCTCATACTGCATTGAAACTCTGAGTTCAGTGTACTCAACTCTGCTGCACCATTCAGTGCAGCTCTCCTTCAAAAACTGAAAAGCTTAGGAAAATTTCAGTGTATATTACACCAGAAGTAATGTGTATGCAAATCCACTCAGCTTTGGTTTGTGTTATTTTCCTTAAAAGTTCAGCACTTACTAAAGCTAACTCACTTAGCTATAATCTTAAATTCATCAACTTCAAAATTCTGTATTTCAGAAGCTTTAAATAGAGATGTTTTCACTGACTACAACTCTTAATAATCTTAATGTTTTGAATTCCAATGCTGAATACTCGAACAGCCATTAACATCAAATTATAGCGAGATTAAATGCAAAAAGAAATGGAAAATATGACTACAAACATTTCGATACGCATCAGACTTATTTCAGTACTATTTAGTGGAGCTACATATTTTATGTTTTAAAGGCATGCCATTATAATTGGGGTAACTGTAAAAGAAGATTTGGACTAAATTAGCTTTATACATTCAAGAAGAATGTCATATTTTACCATGGAAACGAAATATTTTACTGAAAGATTATAATGCGGTGGTGTTTGTTCCTTTGACATGGATATGAAGCAACTCATGCATTTAAGGCAGTAAATTGCTGATATATTCAAACCACAGAGAAACAGATAAAGCCCAAGAAGAATTTATGAGTCTATTGAAGTAGATGATACTAAAAATAGAAATGAAATAGATGATACTAAAAATGATACTCAAATTCTCTAACAGTGTAGGAACTGGTGAGTCTTACTTGGGTACTTGCTGGCCATATGCTTTTGCTCTTCCCCATTACGTGTTGGATGCATCCATCGCGTGACAGTGTACCGTTGATGGTGTGTAACTTGGTCTGTATCCTTGTCACGTGAACAAAGGCTCACTGGACATAAGTTCAGTACCCCTGATTAAATCAAGGTGCCCCTCATTAAAAGTATAAATGATGTTACTTGTTCACAAAAATTACATCCTGATTCTTGAAAAAAATGTGGTCAACTAACAACTAAAGGTAGATCTAAAGGTATCCTTAGTATTTACAGTTCCCTAAAGCCCATCAAGAAGAAGCTACATTACAACTGGGGATAAAAACATTTTTGAGATTCCCACATAGTAGTACAAAACCCACTAGAGCTGGTGCAAAGATGCAGCCCTGGATAAAATGGTATAAGCAGACTTTTGTGTTAGTTGACTAGGTTCATCATTTCTAACTGCCCAGAGACAAGCAATTTCTTTCATATTCAATACAGTTCTGACTTAAAACTGTGATCCTTAAAGAAATTATGTTTTAATAAATAACACAAAATTCTTTATTTCTACATATTGAAGTTTTGTTTTCTTTATTTTTCTTTGTATTTGCATTCAGTAGTTGTGGAGCTTAGTAAAAAAGTCCATTTCAACCATTCCACTTTTGTGTAACAACAATATTTTCATGCATTCTTTGGGAATTTCAGCATTGCACATGATTTCCATTGAATAAACAGGCTGTCTATGTTACTGTTTAGATTAAACTGTTAACAGAAACTTCCCACACTAAAAATTATTCCTTGACACCCTAATTCTGAAATTGGAAAACGGAGCAGGCAGTATGCTTGCCTTAGGAATGCCCCGGGGTCAGCCTTCATCTGCCTTTTACTCAATCCCTGAAATTTGTTCCACGTGGCTGCCGTGTCACCGTGTCCCATAAATATGGCAGATTAGTCTGAAATGCTCTCTATTTGTCTCAAAGGCATAATGAAAAAGGAAGAATAGATTTCTTTTGGGAGTAGATAAAAAAGATTAAAAACATTTGCAAATTGTATTTCTTAAAGATCTCTAACCCACAGAAAAAAATGCCCAGAACTTCATGGTCATGATAAATGCACTACGTAAGACAGAACAGGTTTGGCTAAATGTGGCTGCTATATGAATTTGAAAGTCCTGTATTCATTACTTAACTGTCTGAAGTTAGAAAAAACTGTTTTAATTTGAGACCTTCCAGCTTTGAGCCCAGTTTATAAAATTGCCTTTAGTCTCCATTTTGATCCCACCATTTGCTCCAGGTTACACAGACACCATGAACAGTGATCAAAACGCAAGAGTGCTTCCTTCCCTAGAGAAACCGCGTGCACCGTGACTCTTCAACACTGCGGCAATGTCCAGAGAGCCATCAGCAAACTAGTTTTTGTCGTTCAGTTTTTTAGAGAGTACGAGGCTTTTTAGTTGTCTGCATTTCTCTGCGTTAATATTTGTTTAAAGATTAAGGTGGCTTTTGACCTGAGCTTTACAAATAGGTCTAAATAAAACATCTTGTAGTGTTTCTCAGTATACTGAACAAGGCATAACAATGTTATCTTGCATTTTGCATACTAGAAATAAGAGGTTTTGGCAGGTGGACTTTTTTGTTTTCTGACATTTATGATGTGCCTGATTACGTTTTAAAGGTATGAATGAGACCTGTTGTACTAATCAGAAAGCTTGCCATCTTCTGCACATTGCACACATAACATTTTGTCTGAGCTATTGCTAAAAGTTCTTCATCTTTTACACTAAATAATGCAAGCTATGCCTGAAGCTAAGCCTCTCCTATTCTGTACAGTTCAGGTATTTTTGACCCAAGGCCTTTAGCAGTGCCTTCTGCTGGTACTTCAGTGAAGCAAACAAACAAAACCATGAAGTCAACCATTTCCTTTGAGGTCTGCTGTAGTTATTCAGCCTTGCGGAGGCATCACATTGACGGTTTTTAAAGACTGTTTTGAAGGTTGAAGTGCCTGCCTGGCTGGTTTGGAGAGCTGGGACAATGCAGTGCAGAGAAGAGGAGACCTCCGGCCCCGGCCAGCTGTCCTGCTCTTTCACACCAAGTTGCTTCACAGTTGTACCTGCTGTGCTCGAAGAAATACGAAAGGTCAAACACTTGGCTCATGTTTTCTGAGATCTTAGCTGCATCAACAGTTTTGACCAGCCTTTAGGGAAAGGGGAATGTGGGTTCGTTAACACCTAGTCCGTGACAGAGGGAAATGTAGTCTGAGAAAATTTCAATCGATTTCATTGCGCTTTGGAATGGTTTAGTTGTATGTGTGCATAATAAACTGAAGCTTAGGTATTTTTGAACTCCAGCTGTTCCTTCAGCTGTACTGCAGTTATGTTTTCTTGTGTTATATCTACAGTGGAGAAGCTGAGAGTTCAGTTTGTGTTTTCTGACCAGTCAATGCTTCATTAGTGCCTTAGTTCTTTTTTTTTTCTTTTGAAGTACAGTAATACATCTCTCTCAATTATCTTTATTGGGAAGGTGGGCCGCTTTCCTGTGTTCCTGTCTAAACCCAAGTATTTATGTCAGTTATCAGTGACATACGGGTAGCATGAACAGTAATATCTATAGGGCTCCTTCCTTCCCGTGCTCTCCTACCTGCACAAACTTCAGGTTAGTTTATCCCCAGAGCAGGAGAGGATGGGGCTTCGTTCCGCCCACGCAGCACTCAACTCCAGGTACACGTTTCTGGCCTGCCGCGCCGTTTGTGGCACGCTGACCTTTCGTTCCTTCCGATAAGTCAGCTCACAGTCCCAGAGCCAATATCCAGAGCCCTCCCAACTTTCCATGGCTCAAAAGCCTGTGTGCACACTGCCAGGCTGGACTGTCAGCGTTGCCGGATTTATTGGTTTGTACTGCTTTGTGTCATGACGACCTGACTTGAACAGAAGGTTTGTTTTTAATTTAGTTCTCTTTTCCCCCTTGGAAGATGAAAAGGAAAAAAAAAGAAAAGTCATATTTTAGGTGTTTTTTATCTTAAAATTTGTGAGGGTTTTTTGTTCAATGAATGCTATTAATTTATTAGATTGATGTTATTTGCATGCAGAGTGGTACTGTATCTTTTCAGATGCTTGGCCAGAAACATGCAGTAAAACTTAGCTGGCCGTTTACCTTAAAGAGAAAATAACTCTCAGAAAATAACCCTTCAGTGCTGTTGGAACTAATGTAGCAGTTGCGTAACTTCAAGTGCATGAGCAGTGCTGCTCCCTTCATGTATTTTGTTGCTCACATTTAGGCATTTTTTTCCTGGGTTGGGCCCAGAGTGCTCCGTACAAGGTATTTACAGAATATAAAGGATATCGAGGAGTGGTGAGCTTTCATTTAATTCTAGTTTATCATTTAAAACTGGTAATGTTTCAGTTTCTTGCCAGTGTGAGGTGTGCTTATTGTAGAAATACCATCACAAGTCATAGATCATGTTTTCGTGACTATGAAAACTAAATTACCCTTTCACCTCTACAGGTACAATAGTTCCACCAATTCAGCATTTGGCCATATCAGCGAGGAAGTTCTCACAGTGTCATTTAAACAGTCTCACTCTATTGCATTTTCCCACAGCTCAATTTAAATATCCACCCAGCCAGTTT